TGAATTTAGACAAAAAAATAATCCTTCATATATCAATAAAATACTATTTTATCATGCAATAAGTGGATGTGATACAACGTCAACCTTATTTCAAAAAGGAAAAAAAAATGTGTTCAAATTTTAGAAAAACGAGAGGACATAAATTCAATTATTTCAATTTTTAATAGACCTAATTCATCTCATGATGAAATAGCTCAAAATGGTATTCAGTGCTTGTTATATTTATATGGAGCACTTGAAAATGAAAAATCTTTGAATAAACATTGTTTTAATTTATTCACAAAATTTGCAACGAAAAATAAAACTAATCTTGCTTCACTTCCTCCTACAGAAGATACTGCAAGACAACACTCTTACCGAGTTTATTTACAAGTTCAGTTATGGCTGGGTCACAAAAAAAATCCTGAAGAGTGGGGGTGGGTTTTTCAAAATAATATTTTGTCCCCAGTTATAACATTGAAAGCTCCAGCACCCGACCAAATAATTAAAAGCATATCATGCAGTTGTGCCAAAGGTTGTGGTAAAAATTGTGGCTGCCGAAAAACTAGACTTATATGTTATATTATATGTGGATATTGCAAAGGTCAATGGTGTACAAATTCAGTAGAAATAGAGATTGAAGATGAAGAAGATTGTGCTTTTGTTGAAGATTTATTCGATCAAAATTTGGAGAAGGACAATGAATAACAAATATAAAAAAAATTGAAAATTTTAGTACTCTTATTATTTTGTCTGATGTAAGAATAATATGATAAAAAGAAATCGTAAAATGGAAAAAAATTGAAAATAAATTTTAGTACTCATATTAAATGTAATGTAACTCGAAAAATATTTGTTTAAATGAAAAAATATAAGGAACTTTTTTTATTTAAAATTCTTTTTTAAACAACTTTTGTACGAAAATTTTTTTTGTAAGTTAAATATTTTTTGAGAAAATTAAAAAAGCTCATATTTTTGAACTTTTGCGAGGCTGTAAAAAAAAAGCTCAAGTCCAATCGATGAGGACTTTTAGTATGTCATTATACATATCTTAAATCAACTTTAAAAAAAAAAAATGTTGGTTGGGAATTTTTTCCGCCATTTTTCCTTCGTTAACTGGCCTATTTGTATATGACACCAGAAAGTGGCGTTGGTGAAGAGATAATCACAAAAAGAAAAAAAAAACAAGAGAATGTGTGTTTAGTCACTAAATCCAATCGTTATACAAATATATATAAATATTTGACAACACAGGTATACAACACAAAAAAAATAACAAGACCGACGATGTCGCACTCGACCGGGTTGTGTATCGGATGGTGTCATGGAAATTACTTTTTGTATATTTGCGGCGGGTCGTAGATGATCGTGCGGCACTTGCTGGACTTTGTACCGTGGCGTATCGCACGCGGTGTTAGTCAGTCAAACTACCATATGCACGTAATAGGGCGATGGCTGATAAAGGATTCACAGGTCGCGGGGTTCTGTGTCAATAATTGACATTTTTAACTTTATACTTCTATAACTTGTTTAAAAACTTATGGAACAATACATTATTTTTTGAAATTTAATATTTCTTTACTTTTTACATTCGACATAGTTTTTTTTTTAAATCAGAATATTTAACTCTCTACTAGGGTGACTCGAAACTTAAAAATACGTACCTAAAATTGAACTTTTTCAACTTATTTTTAATTAATTAATTAATTTATTGATTTTTAAAAAGTAACCTAATAAAGAAGCCTAAATATTTGTTATATTAATTAGAAGAATTTGGCTATTATGTGGGCCATATAAGAAACTCTAATTTCACATTTCAAATCGGCACATAAATGGGTTTAGAAAAGTATATTTTCGTCTCGGATAAAAATTATTTGTAGACCAGTAAATTTATCTATAAATAACAAACAATTTTTTTTTCTAAGTATTGTATCACGACCTCCAACTTATATATACGTTCGCCAAAAAATTAATAACTACTATAGAGTGTTTAGAATCTTTTACATATAAAAATCAGTCATACATTTTTTAATTTGTCGATATCAACTATAAACATTAAAATTATTAATATTTTGTACCAACATTTATTTGTATAATTATTTATGATTATATATGTATAATTATTATATTTTTAAAGAATTACATTGATATCTAATATGCACTATGGCAGATTTTCTAAAATAACAATATATNAAGTATATTATATATATATTAAAAGATAAAAATTATTTGTAGACCAGTAAATTTATCTATAAATAACAAACAATTTTTTTTTCTAAGTATTGTATCACGACCTCCAACTTATATATACGTTCGCCAAAAAATTAATAACTACTATAGAGTGTTTAGAATCTTTTACATATAAAAATCAGTCATACATTTTTTAATTTGTCGATATCAACTATAAACATTAAAATTATTAATATTTTGTACCAACATTTATTTGTATAATTGTTTATGATTATATATGTATAATTATTATATTTTTAAAGAATTACATTGATATCTAATATGCACTATGGCAGATTTTCTAAAATAACAATATATCTTATATAAGAGTACTAAAGATTGAATTGTGAATGATTTAATGATAAAATTTTAAATATGTGAAATATAATATAATACATACAAGAATTTATTTTTTGATAAATTATTGCTAAGACTTAAATATCAACCACTTAAAATTTTAAAAATTTAATAATTTACATTTATATTTGATCATATACAAATACAATAATAAGCAAATATTTATTTGACATTTGATAATTTAGAACTTATAATTTTACTATATACATGGTGAATAGATATAACTAACGACGCCTATAACTTTTGATACCAATTACAGTGAGATTATTGTAATTGTTTCTTTTATAGTTTATCAATTCTAAGACTACGATAAAATCATATTTAAAATGAACAATATAAATAGGTGTAACTGAAATTTTTTAAAACTGTATTTTAATACATGAATAAAAATGTTATACTCTAAAAAAAAATATTATAAAGCATCCATAGATAACACCTTTTATCCAGCGACCACATAATTTTAAAGTTTGTTTTAAATTATAAAAATTATACTTTGAGAGTAAGTGTTGATTGACTCACACAGATTTTTATATAAAGAGCAGGTATAAAGCGTGAATGGATACAGTACTGTATATGTTAATGGTTAAATATTGGCTATTTTAAACTTACAAATCATAGATATACTAACTATATTGTTATTTGAAAAATTATTTCTTTTCAGTAAAGAAAAAAAGCTTCAATCCTATTTCATTATTTTCATATTGCGACAGAATTAATAAATTGTTATCAGGTTTGTAGTCAGATGTAATATTCCATTTCCAATATTGATCACTTTATAAAATAGCATAATTGATTTTTGATATCATTAACTCCTGACAGTTTAAGAACTGTTGTTTAATTTCATCATCTTTATTCTGTGCTTGCTTAAAATATAAGTTTAATTTCTCCAGGATATTTTCAACACAGTTAAGGGGTAGTGTAGAAATATAATAACGTTTAAATGCAAAAGAGATATTATCGAAAAGTTTTTGATAATTATTGTAAAATACTCTAATAGCTGTTTGGTACACGAAGACGACCTTCGTCGTGTTTTATAATAATAAAAGTTATAAATAATGTAATATTTTTTTTTAGTTATGATTTATTTTTTCTCTTAATTTGTTCCCTTCAATTTACAGACAAGTTTTTTTGAACGTTCGATTTTTTTACTCGTGTTAACTTAATTTGTGTTTGATTTAATAAAGTCCTCTTAATTTAACCTAATCACAAACTAATTTTTCGTCGTTTTCCACACTTAATGGACTTGTTTATTTTTGCCATTTAAAAATCATTTTCTCCTAGTATATAAGGACGAACAATGGCCTTATATAAGATCACCCCATTTTAATCCTAGTTATGTGAAAACTTGTCACAAGGTGTAAGTGTAAACAACTACCAGCGATTCAATGGACATCAGTTACAACTTTTTGTAATATAAAAAAAAAAATTTAATTTTTTTTTATCTAATAGCTACCTTTAGAACAAAAATCAATCATTATATATTTTATTTAATTCTCATTATTTTCAAAAATATTAAATTAACTTCAATGTTTAATTTTCTATTTTTTTTTAAGATCCTACCGTAGTCCTACAATGATTTGCCTAAACCAGGAGGTTGGCAAACAGTATTTAATTTTTTTAAGGGTGACATCATAAAGGTCGGGTTATTATTCATTATGGCCAAAGTCGCCGTGTATCCTAATAATTTGTATAAATAAAACAGGTAAATACTGGTTTAAAATATTTTACTATATAATTAACTAGTGAAAATGTGTTATTACAATCATCAGTGTTATTTTTAAGTACAACATATAATAAATTAAACAAATTATATTTAGTATTATTTGTTTATACAAAAATAAAATAGGATTTGAAAAATTATTCTAGTTTATCGTGAGGAAATAGATTTAATCCTAGTTTAGTATTATCGTCTAGTGTAGTCAATAATACAGTGTCATCAGGTTTATTATCAGAAGTAATATCCCATTTCCAGTACTGATCATTTTTTAAAATGGCATAATTTGTTTTTGATATTATTAATTCCCGACAATTTAAGATATGTATACTTTTTTCTTGGGTGTATGCGTCACTACTATACGTTTTATCAAAAAAATTTGTAACACAGTCAAAAGGTAGAGTAGAAATATGATACCTTGTAAATGCAACACGGATATTAATTAAAAGCTGTTCAATATTCTTTAGAAACGAGGTGATTACTGAAATATTAAGTTTAATATTAAACAAACTATACTCTTCTATATAATCTATATTTTCATCCATTGCTGAAAGTCTACTCAAAAATTCAATTTGAAACAAACAATATCTGTCTAAAAATGTTAATCCAACGCTTTCAATTACATTCAGATAATGAGTATAACATTGGATAATATTACTATTGTTTTTAAGACATGGTCGAATAATGTCTCCTAATCTTTTACCAACGGTACCATTAATAGGTACAGAAACTTCTATTTCATTTTGTCGCGTCCATGTCCAAGGTTTTTCACATTCCCTTGGGTTGAATAATTCAGAAGACACAACATCGGGATCGTCTAATATCGTATTTTCGTTGTAAGGCATAGGACAACGAGCTATATCTTTTCCTGTGTAATAATCTTGTTCTTGTAATCTCAACTGTATAAATGCAGGATATTTTTTAATGAGTTTATTCAAAACGTCAATAGTTATACGTGTTTGGTCATTTGTATAAACAGTTATAACATTAAAAATTATTAGTTTTAGTAAAATAATACATATTGTGCTATGAGAATTCATTTTTACCTGTTATAGTAAAATTATTCAGACACTGGTTAACTAATTAGTTATTTTAAAATAAAAAAAAACTGCAAATTAATTTTAAATAAAAAATTAAAATATTCAATTTTTGTAAGGATTTAGATAACATTTGTTTACTTCACAATATTAAACTAATGAATTTTTCTTGATCAATAAATATTTATACCTCTCAAGTGATCAATTATTTGTTTAACAAAATTGTTCAATTTTTGGGATATATATAAATCGTGATTGCTTAATATTTACTAGTTTACGAACTATTTATATATATATATATATACCTCGTTAAAGAAAAACAATTTTTTTTGGTAAATTATCCTATTGAAAGATTTGTAAAAAAAATTAATATTTAAAATGTTTGTGTAAATGTGACGGTTCTAAGTCTTAAGTATATACTTGGCTAAACTGTATCTTATGGTACTTATTTATTTTAGCTCTCATACAAAGCTGAGAAGGTATTAATTTTACTATGATTTTTTTTTTTTATTTTTTATTTTTTTGTGTCTTTTACTACTTTTACTCCTCTCTCGCCGAACCGATTTCTTTCAACGATACAAATTGTATCTTTTTGAATATATTACACTCAAATATTGAAAAAATTTCCCTCGTTCCTCGTAAATGAGGGAAATCTCCAAAAAAATTACAAATTTAAAAATCACTAACTTTCGACATTTTTTCAATTATTTTTAATTAAAACTGCCATAGTATTTTGAATTACCAAATCAATATAATTTTTTTTTATAGATACAAGAGGTATTTAATTATCATTTTGTATATTTTTTTTATAAATCTGACCCTTTACATGCTCGCAGAGAGGGATTCGAAATGAAAACTTAACTTTTTAAAATGTTCCAGAAACTGTCACTTTTATATATATCTAAAACTAAAGATTATGTAATATACTCTATTATGGAAAAAAAAATTCGGACTTTATTTTGTCTTCACGGCAAAAATGGTAACGAATGCTATTTTTGTGTTATATTTCTCGACTTTATATTTTACATTTTTAACCTTATATTTCTGTAAATTTTTGAAAAATGTATGGATCAATACCATTTTTTTTATGAAAATACTACTATATACTTTTTTATTCGACATAACTTTTTTTTAAACTTGACTATTTTCCTTTATATCTAAATCTTATGTAGTATACTTTAATATGAAATAAAAAATATTTGGACAGTTTATGTTTTCATGGTGAAAATAGTCATCAAAGTAAGTAAAAACATATGATTATTGTAAAAAAATTATTTTTTATATTTTTAATTATGAATTTCATACTATAATTTAATTGCTATAATAAATAGTTATCCATATATTACACATACAAATGATAAATTTGTTATCAGATTATAAATAAGGAAATAGGAGATCATGTTGCATTTTGAGTAATCCACCAATTTTTTTTAAATTTAACACTATCTACAGATTTTCATCAAAGCGTTTTTTATGATAATGATTTTAATCATTGTCAGATATCATTTATACTGGACCCAACTATACTACGTCCACACTGTGCCATGACCTCACTGTAAGGTGTTCGCTACTTTTTATGTTTTAACAATTAAGAAGCGCCCGGCGTTAAATTGTTCCTTTATGTCTAAAGATAATCTCTAAAAAATTTGAGCTTTATACTACTTGATTAACAAGGTGCACATAAAGCTCAAAGTTTTGAAAAAATGTGAAAAGTTTCAGTGTTTTACATTTTTAGGCTACAGACTTAATTTTACGAAAAAAATTATAATATTGTAGCTATTGTAATTTTCTATAAAAAACTCTTTTTTCAATTTCGCGTTTAGTTAATACTTTTTGGCTAAAATAATAAAAATTGACAATACTTGTCATTTATTAAAATTTCCAACTATTTGGTTTTTTGTTTAGTCTACTTTAATTTTCACATTACAAAAAAAATTCTAATTATAAAATTTGTTTAAAATAATAATGAAAATAAAAAAGAATATTAGATAGTTTCTCTTAAAACTGATAGTTTTTGAAATATTGATAAAAATATTCAAAATAATTGCCCAATACTTTTACAAAACATTTAAAAAAATAATAATTATAATAAAAATGCGGTTATATATATATGTATATGAAGAGTGAATGTGTCAAACGTTCTATGTGCCAAAAAATTGAAAAATTGTTTTATTTCTGATTTATGTTCTATGTGCCAAAGGTCACAATCTTGTATGTGTTTCAAGTGTCAATTAAATTTTTTACTTGTACAAAATTGCGTTCATAGATTGTATTTGTTCTGTGAGACATGCCCATTGTTACCTGTACGTTCTAAGTGCCTTGGGCGAATATAATAGTTTGATGATAACAATATTATGATATAGTCCGTTATATTTCAAAATAATACTGGTGTTATTGTATTCGTTAAGTTTTCTTTTTCATTTGTTTAATTGTGTTATTTTGGATACTGAAAGTATACATATTTTACGAAGTGGTAAAAAAAGAAGAAATGATCAGACTAAAAAAAGAATTAGTGGAAAATCGTATGCGACCAGGAAAAGCAATAATACAATTCAGGAAAGCCTCCAACTTCGTTGTTATAACTTTGAAATACATCTCGGTGACAGCAATACAGCCTTTATGTGTATGTGGGATGAAAATATTGCTTCTCGTGGAAGCTCAGAAATCGCTTCTTGTCTTTTTCAAATTATTAACAAAAACGAAAATATGATAAATCGCAAAAAACTAATTATATGGCCAGACAACTGTGCTAGCCAAAATAAAAATAAAACGTTAGTAGTTTTGATGTTATATTTAATAAATATGGGGATATTTGATGAGATTATACAAAAATTTTTGATAAGTGGCCACTCTCTCTTGGCTTNTTATACAAAAATTTTTGATAAGTGGCCACTCTTTCTTGGCTTATGATCGTGATTTCGCTATTATTGAAAAGAGACGTAGAGTTTTTCAAAATTTCACTCCTTCTGATTTACAAGAAATGGTTAGAGCAGCGAAGTTGCCAAATCCATTTCGAGTTATTCCGATGGATGAAAACAACTTTTTCTCATTCAAAGACATTGCTAACAATTTTCTTAACACAACCAAGTTTCCAATTTCTATATGTTCAATGATTAAAGTTTCATCTCTAACTCCCAAAAAAATCTATTATAAAAAATATTTTCAGATGAAGAACTTTGGAAAGATTTTAACGTTTTTAAAAGAAATGCTACTATTTATTATGATGTTGCTATGTTCTAATTATGTTTAATCTAGAGTTTTTTTTTATTATTAGTTTAATTATTATTAGATTTGTTAATTTATTTTTCAATTTGTAATACTCAAGAAAGCTACTGTTTTCTTTTCTTGTTACATTTTTATATGAAGAAAAAATTTTATTTTACGTTTTGAGATTTACTGACAATGTCATGTTAGATTAAGAGTATTTTTTATTTAAGTTTGTACATTTATTTTTCAATTTGTGATACTCAAAAAAAGTGTTGATTTTTTTACATATTTTATACAAATATATATGAAGTCTTAATAAAATAAAGAATGATTTTCTGTTATCTATAATAAAATATTGGTACTTGGAACGATAATATTATAACATTATTTGGAACTTGGAACTTTAATATTATAATACTTGGCACTTGGAACTGTCATTAGCAAATGTTTAATTTATACTAATATGAAATGACAAAATAAAATAATAGAAATTTACGAGGCTATTAATATAGTGTAAATATAGCATAACATATATTTTTATACAAAATTATAAGAAAATTTTTAATTTGTGATGTTTTTTGTGTTTTCTGAACAAATATTTTTTTGGCACATAGAACGTTTGACATATTCACTCTTCATATATTCTATATGAAAAAGAAAAGTAATGGAGCTTTTCCGAACTTAGCCATTGCTCCTAGGATTTTTTTATGAGCCCCAATAACCTAATCTAACGCAGAATAAATACAAGAAATAAAAATTGAGTGCTAAAAATTATGTAGTTTGTGGATTTTCCACAATACACAAATTGTTAATTTTTTAAATTCTATGAGTAGTGTTAAAATTATTTCTCCATCATCAAATTTTCACCAGACGTTTTAATTGCCTAAAGGTAAGTACTATGTAAATTTGAAAAAAATTCGTTTAGTCACTTTTGTGTAATGAGATGATGAAGTTGTATATTTTCAACAAACCACGCGTGTTCAAGACCGTAAAACGATACAAAAAAAATTATAAATCGATTCAAATATGGTATGGCTTAAAAGAACATAACTAAAAGTTTCTGAAAATAAAAACAAATTTTAATTAAACAATTTTTTGACCTTCAAATTTTGCTATTAAAATACTGCAAAATGAAAAAATTTAAATAAAAATTTCGATGTTTGAAAAAATTCAAAATTCATAAACTTAAGAATGAAATTGAAGTACTATTTAATATGAGTAAAACAGTGCTAGTTCCACAGTGATAGCTTATTTGGATTTGAAGTTATAGGCTCCAGAACATAGGCTGTATTTTTCATGTTTTTAATTATAAAAAATGCGCTATCTGGTAAAAAAAGAATATTATTTTTATTGTAAATGAACTTTAAGAAGTCTATGTTATAAATTTCATAAATTTCTGAACTACACTAGCACACACATTAGATGATTTCACATGAAATGACCCACCTGTAATTTAATAGCATGTTGATATTATATTTTGAAATTATAGTTATATGAATTACCTTTCCTACTTTTAATCCGTTTACCTGTTTTCAATTTAGGTAATCTACAACAGAGTTTTTTTTCTGATCGTAAGTAGAAAACAGTTTTTTGACCCGTGAATTAGGTGAACATTGTCATTCAGTTAGAAACGGAATTTTGTTGTGGGTATCATGTAACTCATTTGGGTACGACATTATCACTTCAAGAGCAACCCCTAAGGATACTCTTCCAGTAACTCATTCACTGCCTTTAAAATTTTTCTTTGTTGTTCACGTCTAACTACTTAAAGTCAGCACACTGCATGTGTTGTGACATACTCCATCCACACAAATCGTTAACATCCAATTATATAATTTTAGATTTTTGTTGTTTTAGATCACAGTGAGGCGTCTTTTCATTGTTGGCTGAGGCATGTTTTAACCCTTCCCCGTATTCTCCTCTCAATAA